CATCGAGAACGCCAATAAAAATGCTACTGGTTTGCCCATTTAACCAATAACATATTGTGTATGACCACGTAATTTGTGGGTGAAATAAAGACTCTTGAGTAGGGATACAACTTTTTCATTCATAAACCCCATGAAATAAATAAAACACTAGTAAATTGCTTACTATAACAGTGTAACCATACACACAGTGTGTATTGATTATAACAACTTTTGGCTGTACTGTTCGTTGAATATAGTCCCAACTAATTTCAAAACTATTTATTTTTGAGGATAATCTACAATTTTGAAAGAAACACTACTTTTCGATAAACATAAATTATTATTCAATCACTTGTTCCTTGCAGTCAAATATCTTCAATTTCCATAATCATTTCAATTTTTAAATGGAAATAATAATCATTAGTAACTGCAAATTTTCATTCCAAACAAAAAGAATAAAAAAAATACTTTAGGTAACTTTTTCATCAAAGAAGGGATACAACTCGAAATCTCCTACCTTTTTGCCGTCTATATATAGATATGAATTACAACAGTCGGTGCATAAAAATACTTTTTCCTGTGGAAATCTATCACATTTCTTGACCAGCCATTGAGAAGGTGCTATTCCACAAATCAAACATAAAACATTGGTAGACCTGCAGACGGAAACAATTCTTGGATACTTCTCGGAGACTAGGCAGTCATTTGGTTGAATCAGTCTAGCATCGGAGAAGGTCAAGATGTGTTCACAGTTTCCTTGGTGTATATAAACATAGGGATATCCTATCCTTGGTGTCAGAGTATTCAGCAATGTCTGAAGTAGAAATAAAAATTAGATTAAAGTTGTTCGTGCCGCTATTTTGGATTTTCAGTATAAACTTGTATATATATAATTGAAAGAAGCAAAAATTTTTAAAAACAAGCACTCTTCCAGACACTAGAACTGCAATACTCTTCTTGACGTGTGTGTCACCAACCAAGTTCGCATCTTCAGATGATGAACAAACGCACATCGAGAAGAGTATTGCAGCAGTGGTGTTTGGGAAAAGTGATCGTTTTGAATATGTTCTACAGCAGAGGTTCCAGTTTTACCTTTTATTCAGCAAAAAATCATTTGGATAGATATACAAGTACTTGAAGAAAAATGCTAACATTGATAGGTTATTGTGACAATGACCTTAAATTTCCGTTTGGAGTCTAGAAACATGACAAGTGAAAATAACTGTGATTAAAAAAATATTAATTGAGTTAAGATCACATTCACCAAGCCAAATGAAATTAAAACTGGAATATGTCTATAAAAACAACCTTTCTGGGAAAAAAAAAATTTATGAAGCACATTTTCCCAATATTTCATATGAATACGAATTTTCTTNATAACAGATTGATCAGATATTTTAATGAATTTGTTATTATTAGTGGAAGAATATTTTTTATTATGGGAATGTCTTATTCAACTTATTTATCAATAAGGATGATAGTTCAGTTTCTGTGAATGGAAGGTGCTATGATTTTTTTCCCGTAGATAGGCCGACAGCTGCCCCTGTAGCCTATACTATAGATAACTCTTATTATTCGTTATTGGGCTACGAATAATCCTGGAAAAAATTTGGCCATACCCCTGACAAATAAATTCATGCTTATATGAGAGTAGCCCATAGCTAAGTAGATGCTGAGCAGGCCAGTTTCATTTGAACTTTATTTTAGTTGCTTAATAGTGTAAGCTTTATTCATCTTAGTATAGGTAAATACCTGAGAAATTGTTACTTAATTTATAAGTATCAAAAGATATCAAAATTCAGCTTGGTGTGCAAATCTTTTTCAGGAAATCTAAATTGGAATATCCAGACAATTAAGGATTCTCAATGGTCCCTAGGTGGTTTTATAGCTTTAGTCAAACACTTGATGAAAATGTTAATTGTTACTTTGCCTATAAACCGAAATATTGGCAATTTTAAAATTGTTACCATGTAACAATTTGCAGTTATTTCAATTTCACATTCAACTGAGAAGACTCTAATTGATTCGATTTCAGTATTTTTTTTGACTCTTCTTGACCAAAACTAGAGTTTCCCCATGTATGAGAAATAAGTATGGATGTTATCCTATATCATAGCATAGTTTTTTAGTAATCTTCTTTTACCCAATGTATGGATGTACACAACACATATATGTCCTCAGCTTTCAGAAACAATTCAATAGATATATAATTGTTTAAACAACCTTGGACGTTCACACAGCAAAACCTAATGGGACATATATTTATTAAAACGTGGAACATAAAATCCTCTGTTTGCTCAGAAGCTACCTGGAGTGTAAAAAATTAACATTGACTTGTCCCTGGACTAGTACATGACTCACAAAATTGGAGTTCATCAGCTAGAGATACAGACTGATCATGGTTAGAATTTGGTATATCTGAATGTTTAACGGAGTTGTCAACTTTATAATTACATGATTTCTCTTGAAGTTTTCAAGAGATTGTACTTTAAAAATCTGTCATACTTTTTTCATTTTGTGCCGATATTGAGGTAATATTTTTTGACTTCCTTGATTATTGGTATATTACTGCTTGAAATGAATGAATTACGATCTATTTGGATATTTTGATGACGATATATTCAAAAAAAACTTTATTTCGAGTTTTTTACTAAAGTTTTACGAAAACGCAACATGTGTTTCACTATTCAATACCTTCTTCAGTCGTGTCTTTACTAATCTAGTTAGCTATTGTATAGCGAAATACTTGGTGCATTTTTTTTAAATTTTTACTGACAATCTCAAAAAGTGTTTCTTGAATACATTATGGATTTTCATCAAGTATTAGCCGATTCCATTACACATTTCATGTGATAAGTCGGTTGATATGTTTGACAGTTTTTTGATCAACTGTTTAATGCACGTTTTGAAGGTAGCTGATATCTTTGTTTTTTGCTGTAGTAGTATCATCATTACAGCAGCTGATGATATTTTCGATGAAATATCGAATTTTGCTTTTCTTTTTCATCCAGCAACTCCTGTGATCGATAACTGAACAAATTTTACAGACATAGCAACTTAATACTTTCTGATTTCGAAAAGAAGAGTATTTTATTTAATCTTATAAAATANGAGAAAAAAAAAATTTATGAAGCATATTTTCCCAATATTTCATATGAATCCGAATTTTCTTCCTAGCATATATTGATTCATGAATAGAAGAAAAAAGTACCGTTTCCATGGCTGACACAGTAAATTTGCCTATATTTTTCTCTCTTGCCCATTTGATTACCGGTTCAGAATAGTCCTCTGCATCAGGCGATCTTGTGTCATTGTAAAACACACCATCAATGAAAACTGTTTGTGAAGGATATTCTTGCTGGAAAAGAAAAAAATACAGCACCGAAGAAAAAAAATGGAGTTTTGAAACTAAATACTTTTGATAATAATATCAATAATGATATTACCGATTCTAAAATGCATATTGTTAATAAAAACAATAATAATACTATTTTTCAACGTTGTCAAGACAAATCGTAGGAGAAGGGTCAATACAAGAAACACAAAATTTTAAAAACCTAGACGAAACAACACAACAAACAATTGCACGTAATATATCTAAACATCTAAAAATTCATTATAGGAATAGAAATATTTTTCAATAGAAAACTTCTCGAATTGCTTTTGAATATCAGTAAATAATGTTCTCCCGTTAAATGATCAAGAAGTTTACTACTTAATATTTTTATTTCAATGCATTCTGGTGCACATGATGCTACTCAGTTTTGAATATGAAACATAAAATTTAATTTTTATTCCAGTGTTTAGTCATTTCGAAAGTTAATTTGTTTTGAATACATAAATACATGTTTCAAATATGTAGACATATATAATTGTCAAAATATGAAGATACTTGAAAAGAAATACCTACTTCTTATCTAAATTTTGAATCAACCCCAGCAAAAAATAGGCTCAGTAGTTGAGTCTTGAGACTATTCTCAGATTCATTAAAATAATTTCACTGAGTTTTACAACAGTTGAATGTTAGCAATGGGCATTCCAGTTCAAACTCTCAATAGGAGTCGGTAGGAAAATGCATATTTGAATATGTGTGATTGATGACTTGTTTACTTTATGGTAATTCATGATCACTTAAATGAATAGAAAATAAAAACACTTTTGTCAAGATGTGATAACCAAATTTTTACCCAAAATCTTCAGAAATAATATTCACTACCTACTTCAAATGAAATGAAATTGGTTCAAATTATGAAAATCACGTTTCCAGTTGAACTACAAAAATGCAAATGGATACAAAGTTGAATTAATCTCAAAATGCAAATAAGACATTGTTTTATAAGTCACATTCAGAATAATGCTTTCAAATCTAGTGAAAAAACTCAATTTCTACAAATTAATTGGATAAATAAATATGACATTTCACTCAATTATATTTGTGATGTCACTGTCAAGAGTTGACATTTTCAGGCAAAACGTACAAGATGTATAGCAACTCTAAAAATGATTTTCCGATATTTTCGATGATACTTTTGGACTTTTTACAAAAGAAAAGATAGAATAGCACATATCACAGGAGAATCACAGCAGTATTTCGTCAAGGATGACCAGTAACAAATGCATTGTTGTATATGTCTCCTAAAGCTCTAAATCATAACCATAGTTGTTTACTCTTGATGGGCAGCATCTATTGCAGTCATGAAGGAATCCAAAAGAAATATTCGTGGGATTATTTCCAGGTGAAATTTTATGAGATTGCTATATTTTAGACTATTCAGCATAATACAGCTACTTATCAAAGGCATTTCTTACAGCCTGAGTGTACAATAAGTCATTAAAATTCCTGATAATGAATTCTCATAGAGGATTTTTCAGTATGATATTAGGCTCAGAAAATACAAGCATACTTTGATGACATAATCTCAAAAATCCAGTTGAACATTACCCACTCCTGATAACTATTTTTTCCAGAATACTGATGCCATGTTGAAATCCGGCAATATAATATTTTCTCTATATAAAATTGAATACTACAGAAGAATGAAGAAAGTGCAATTTCTCTTGTTCACTCACTCCAATAAGTTATTGGATGAATATAATACATAAAATATCCTCAAAGAAAAATATGTTTGTCATATTCAATTAGTCCTGTCTAAAAAATATCTTCTGGGCATTTTCAACTTTTGTTTCAGACTTTAAAAATGAAAAACGTTTCATTTGATAGGACTCTAAAATGAACTGTCCTAACTTTTGTCAGTCACAAATTAAAGTAAAGTCTCATAATGAAATAATGGTTTCACTGACCTTTGCATTTTGAAACTGCTTCAAATTCACTTTGGTATTTTCCACCTCCTTCAGTACTCCATAGTTAGAAACACATTCGATTGCATCAATAATTTGTGATAGTAAATTGGTTCCAAGAGCCTCAATTTCCATTGCAAAGCGTAACTTTTCTCCTGAATGTTTCTGTCCCATACTCATTGAAAATGGTCTATAAATGAGTATGGAATAAATAAAGTTGGTTCCTGGTAGAATATCATTTCTAAAATGATTTGACATGTTGTCGGTCTGAAAAGTATATGAAATAACTGAATGTTTTTGTAATAGTTAGTAGTCCGATGGATACACAGGTCCTTTCTCTAACTGATATTTTATAGGATATATTGATACTACTAAGTAGATAATATTCAAATGCAGTTTCCTTTTTTGTGAGAACCTTTTCAGAAACAAGTGTCCACCTCCAAAACAAGATTCTATGTATACCACTGTACTATAGTATAACAATTTTCAATTGAAGGTAACTCATATACAAATTGAACTGAGAGCTAACGGCAACAATGTTAAATGTTAGAACTAAATTCTTACCGGGGTCATTTTTATTGTCTATGCATCGCCATTGTAAATAATTGGAAAGTAAGATGATTCCATAAAATTTGCCCCCGTAAGAAGATAGCTTCTGCATATCAATAGGATGTACGAGCGAATAGGTGAACCATTTCGTTAAATACTTTGAAACATCGGTAAACTGACCAACACTTCGGAGGTCTATTATATTTGCGTCCTTAAAATGCCATAACTAGTCATTCGGTTTCTTCATTAACAAGCGTCCTTATCTGCATAGGCAGAGTGGGCCAAATTGAACACTTTCAAAGGGAAACTCCTACTAGATGAAAACTGATGGCTTAGGGTCAAATTTTATGACAAACTTGTATTATTATCCTTTCGGAGTTATAGCATGTGTTTCAAAAATGTACATTTTCGAAAAGTTGCCAAAATTTTTTCCTATCAGAAATTTCTCGTTTCTCTGAAAACATTTCCATGCACTTAGTTACATCAATAGCTATAATAATTATATCGACTACAATTTGTGTAAAATGTTTTTTAATATTAATTTATCTCATAAATATTTCTTTCAACTGATACTGTTCTATACTGACTTGTTCTGTTTTATGCTAGACGTAATCTAAAGAACTAATAAACTATTATTATAATTATTAGTTTCATGGCGAAACACGTGTTGCGTTTTTGTAAAATCGTTAATAAATATATCGCAATAAAGTGTTTTTGAAAACGTTATTTCAATGGAGTTTGAAATAATCTTTCAAGAAATGTAGCACACATGATATTCTGCTAGAGTCATCACTGAAATACAGAGCTTTATGATTTTCCCATGTAGACTTTGAAACGCACACTTTGATCAAGTGAACTTTGGACGACACAGTAGTGAAAGAGAAAGAAATTGTTCAGTAGTAGCTATCAGATGTTGAGAAAGCTCTTCACAAACGGATAGTNTAGTTGTTTACTCCAGTAATCATGCACAGCGGTTTTTGTTATTCAGAAGAGGGTCATTAGAATTATTCTAAGTCTTGATTACATAGAACCATGAAGTGGAAATTTAAAAAAATTGGAGATACTAACTTTACCAGGCATCTATATACACGACTGCCTAGTATTTATGTTAAAAATGAAGATCAATTAGTGTCATGATTTAAAAAATAGAACACTATACTTTTCAACAATTCATGAATTATTTATTTGAATTTTATTTGAATTTCAATGTCTGTTTTGTTAGGACATATGTTGTGATGCATGTTCCTTTAATTGCATATTTTATTCTGTATGTTGAAAAATGTGCAATTTTTGACTAAGAGATTCTGTTCTGAACTTTTGATGAAAAATATACAAAAAACATCTACCGACCCTAACTACAATTGATATATATTGATATCAATACAGAAAAAGAATTGTAAAGAAAGTGTAATATACTATACCAGCGAGCCGTCTCGGCTCCGCACGGGTGCAATGCTGATACTAAATATACACACAAACACATGCAATCGCTGCTAATCATAAAGTGCTATAGGGCGAAGCGCGGCCTTCGACGCGCTATTTATAGGCACGCGCCGCCGGCCGGTACCGCCGCAACCGCTTTGTCCCTGCATTTAAAATCTGCAATATCTTAGAAAATATTCATTTGAATTATATGCTGTAAAGGGTCATATTGATCTATATTGAATGCACTTCATTGGATAAGGATTAATGTAGTATTTCTCAAAATAGCTTCGTAAATAAGCCATCATTTTTCGAGGATAAAAAATGCCTTTGGTGGGATATCCCTCAAAGATATACCAATACCATAGCGACTTTTTTTGTAGACCTTCCTGAAGGTGTACAATTCCGTAGTACATTATTTTGATCTATCTCATAAGGTTCAGCCAGCAAAAAAACGTGTTTATTTACGACATCACATTAGAAAATNTGTTTCTTTTTTTAAATGTCAATTTTGACAGGTTAAGGAAATCACGTGACCTATTTTGTAGACGCCATTTGACATCATTTCTTAAGCAAAATCTACTGCCAAAATCCAATTTCACATAAAACGATAAATAAAAATGTTTCCCATTTGATGCGGACTTTATCGGTGACACTGTATAAGGGCTAACATCATCAATTATTGTAATCAGTTTATTATATTCGTTTGAAAATGTCTTTATAGGAAGAAACTACAGTAAAGTTGGTTACAAATACAATAGGACGAAACTGCAGTAAAGTTGGTTACAAATACAAGTGGTAAAAAAACATAGAAAGTTTTATTTCTCAGTTTGCTTGATGATCTCCTTCCACGTAGTAGCGGCTACTTACATCAATTTATTTAAAAAGCAATGTTATATACAGGGTGTAACTAAATAAGTGTAAAACATTTAAGGAGGTGATTCCTCATCGAAAAAAAGATAGGATCTTTAATATAAAGAAATTTCATTGTAGTATTGTTAAGATACAGCCCCTTGAAGGGGGTACATAAAATTTGTATATCAATTTTTTTCACAAGCACTGAAA